GAGCTCGTGCTCCTGCTGGGGGGAGGAGAGAGGAAAAGGTTAGCATCGCCCATATTTGATAACAGCTCCTTAATTAGCAGCAGCATTGAATTTAGTTGAGTCAGAGTCATGTAGACAAGTCAGCAGCAGCATCAGTCAGGTGGTGATAAGCAGATTGGCAAAGGCTTAAATTAAAGATGTTTCCTGTATGTTTTACATAATCATAATTTTCCATAAAATGTTTTTTTCTCTGTACAGTTATTTAACTCCAAACGTAAAACTCTCATAACCTTGTTTGTGCCTGTAGGGACTCTGTTGAAAAGCGTCATCCCAGCCATCCGTCCCCGGTCCCCGTCAATCCAATCAGCCTTCTTAGCCACAGCCGACCTCCTGAGCACCACAGGAACCACCTGCCACCTGCTTCTGGAGAGCCTCAGAGGGAGAAGGAGAACAAGGCCAAAGAGAGGGAAAGGGAGCACTCGGATTCATGGAAAGACAACGGCACAGACGACCACAAGCTCAAGGACAGCCAGCACAGTGACAAGGACACGCCTGTCATCCATGACGGCCGAGCGTCGGAGGACAAAATGTCAAACAGAGGATCGGCGTCACCCTATGTCCGGCAGACCAGCTTGGAACGTCCCAACGGTGGCCTGACAAGGGATGTCCTGGAGAAGAAGGCGGAGCTGCCATACGAGCACCAGAAGAAGAGCAGTGAGGTGAAAGTAAAGGAGGAGAGGAAGGAGGAGCAGGATGGAGGCGCAGAGAGGGCCAGTGAGCACCTGCAACAGGCGTCCTCCACCCCTAATCTCCACCCTCCCTCCTCAGTGCCTGTGTCCATGGGCATGCCCGTTGTCCACCCCATCAACAGCATCAGCAGCCTAGAGAGAACTCGAGTCGTGGCGCCCTTTATGGGTATCAGTCCCATCCCAGGAGCTGACAGATTCCCCTACCCTCCCTTCCACTGGGACCCAATGAGAGACCCCTACAGGGGCCTGGACATTCACAGGCGAGACCCTTTGGCCAGGGACCTGCTGCTGAGGAACGATCCTCTGCACCGGTTGGCAGGGCCGCGCCTGTACGAGGCAGAGCGCTCCTACAGGGACCGCGAGCCTCACGACTTTAATCGCGACCACGCCCACCCCCTGGCCCTGGAGCAGAGGAGGGAACAGGAGCGCGCCCAACTGGAGGAGCGCGATCGCCTCAACATGCTCCGAGAGGACTACGAGCACGGGCGCCTCCACCCCGCGGTGCACCATCCCGCCCTCGACGGACACCTCCCCCACCCTGCCCCGGGCCTCATGGCCCCCGGACTCGCTGGCATGCACTACTCCAGGGTGAGTCCCTCAGCCGCAGCGGCAGCAGCTGCCGCCGCCGCAGCCGCAGCCACCGCCCATCAGAATGGTATCCTGAACAAAACGCCACCCACCGCATCTCTGAGTGCACCGCCCCCACTCATTCCCACACTGGGCGCCCGGCCCGGCTCGCCCAGACGGACTACTCCCCTGGGCACAGATATCAGAGACAGACCGGCTCACAAAGACATCGAGGCGCGGTGAGGCGAGCAGACGCGGTGGCCCTGCAGCCCTGTGCCTCACCAACACTGAACTCACAACCAAGCACTTAGCTTTGGCAAAGCAAGACTGTAACATAGCTGTGAATAATTTATGTGGGCACACAGATGCCCATGCAATGAATCGTTTTTGTATAAAACTACAAAGAGACAATAATCATGGAACAAAAAAAAGCTTTTTTTCAGAGATTTTGTTTTCCCGTTTTGCTCCAGCTTTCCGTGTGCATTCTTTCTCTTGTATAGAAAAGTGATGTGGAGTCAGAATGAGCAACTTTGGATTGTACAGGTACTTTAGCACTGAGTGTGTAGATAATGTGTACAGTCGCTGTGCTCGCCCTGTACGGATTCAAATTCATGGTACAAATATGCAAAAGAGTGTTTCGAAAGCTTTACTTTGACAGATGTAAATACAGGAGTATGATTCAGAATGTGCTTTTTGCAATTTCTTTATCGTTTGGTTGACGCAGGTGATTCGCATTGTACCAGATCCCCAGATTCAACTATGCAACAAATGTCTCGGTTCCCTTTCTGAAAGCTGGCCTTCAACACTACTGACTGCGTGCCACTGTGTACCATTCAAGGACTGTATTCTCTCCACAACGCAGACTTGACATTAACTTTGCGTCCGTGCTGACAGATGCAGCTTTAACTGATCCGCACAGGGTTTCAGATTTAACAAAAACAAAATGATTTTTGTCTTAGAATAATCTGTGGTGACAATCCCATTGAACTGAATATTAAATTGTGATGTAAAAAGCCAGCAGCACAAATGTGTGGATGGATTTTTTTGTTGTCCTCTTGGTTAACACCAGTCTTGTTCTGGGGAGAATGCAGCGCATTAAACACCATGATGGCACATTAGCCCTAGCGGAGGAGTGTAAAGTACATGTTTCTGTTGGTCAAACAGTGTATTAAAGTGCTTTCCTAAGTTGTTGTACCTACAAAATCAAAATACAAAAAAAGCAAGTCTCAACCATGGACGGTTTGTTTCTAACAAGCAGAGATCTATTTTAGTAGTCCACTGAAGGTTTAGTTGTGCGCTTCAAACTCTGTGATATCATGTCGTGCAGTGTTTTTTAATCCAACATGAAATTGTCCACCCGAGCCATAGTGGTTAGTCGATACGTATCGCAAAAAGATTGTTCAACGAGAAACCTTTTGCTGTTTACCGTGTACAGGGGAAAAAACGAAGTCTTTCTAGATCGTGTACAATGAGAAAAAATGAAGCGACTGAATCTTCAGCATGCTCCTCATTTAAACTTGTGTTATGTAAATTGTGCCATGTTATTAAAAAATGTGTACTAACCCTGTGTTTGGGTGTTTATTTCTCCGCCTTTGCACAGACGCCATATGTGACGTGTCCTGGCCCCACTTCTCACCCACCAGTGTTTTTATAGCGCTACAGGTTGCGTGTGCCATTAATACTTCTTTTTTTAATCCTCTGTCACGTACAGCGTGTCACATCCCTGCTGATGTAGGAGAAAACTTGATGGTTACCCCAGAATTGTGAATCATGAGCAGATGCAAGAGTTATTGGTATTACACTGAGTAACTACAGGTTCGTGCCGCCGCCTCTGACTGATGTTTGGCACTGAGGCGCGTGGGTGCGTCAGTCACCGCTGCTTTTCCTCTCAGACCTGCACGTATGAAATGATATAGGGCTACAGCATGGGGGTAATTCAGCCTTTGGACCAGCAGAGGGCGCCAAACTATAAGAAGTCTTATGGCGTGGATGAAACTTTAGACAAACCATTACTCTGCGTAAGAGCTACCGTTTGACAACTACTGTCAAAGAAACGCAAGGTTGGCCTATAAACCAGCCTGAACCATATCTCAGGACCAACACATTCACACTCACACGTACATCTACTGAAGCCAATTAACATGGATGTGTTTGGACTGTTGAAGGAAGCCAGAGCCCCCATAGAGAACAAGAACAAGAAAATCTTTCAAGTCATTTGATTAAAAATCGTGAGGTGAAAAGGAGACATGCAGCAGGGGAGTTTAGAGAAATCAAAGAAGCAAAACTTCACATTTAAGAAGCTTCAGAAACAAAAGCAGAAGGCAGCGTTGCAAACCTCATATTCACAACAGAACATAAGAAACCACGTCGAATATTTAAAAAGAGACCGTTTTTAGAGACCACTTAAATTTTGAATTTGATGACAGCGTCATGTCTCAAAAACGTTTGGATGGAGAAAAATAAGCAGCACAAAAGAAACAGCTGGAGGAACATTTAGCAACGAATTAGGTTACCTGGCATCGCATCAGCAAAAATGGGCAGATTTTCACCAATCTGCTAAAAAGTCTACACATTTTAGAACAATTTCAGAATTATGTTTCCCAACATGAAATTGTGAAGACTTTGAATATCATCTATATCATAGATAGAATAGTAGTATACGTCACATTTTCCATGGCCAGATTTTGTTATCAAGAGTCAGAAAAGCTTTTAATGAGACGCTGTTAGGCCCAAGCTCGTGATTAATGATGTGTGACAGCAGGGGGTCTGATGGGCTTCAGTGCAAATGGGATCCTGTGGTGTGATTTCTTTATCAGACTGATAACAAAGACATAATAAACCTGCTCCGGCGGTGTACAGAGTACGTAGAGGTTTTATGTGATGAAATCCTGACAGTGACTCAACATTAATCTCTTACTTTGCTCGTTAAAGTGAAAAACAGCTGAGAACACTTCTCTCCAACGACCTCCTGCAGTCTGAACTACATTTACATCAATTCACGACGGTGTTTTTGTGCAAACCTGGCTGCTAATAAGCTCACTGTGATTTTTATGGTTTCCAACAGAAGGTGCTCATTAATCCTGCCCGTCTAGACCAGTACGCACAAAACGGTAGATTTCAAAAGTTAAAAAGAAGAAAATGTTTGATCTGGACTCTTTCAGGACCCAGTCTTCAGTTTTCAATCACTAAAGTTCAAACAGGCACTTCTGGTATTTGGAAATGTGGAGCCAATGAAGTTTAACATTTATATATAAACTACACGTTGCTGTGTCAAATATAGTGCCATCCAAAAGTCTTGGACACCTCATTTCTTTATATTTTGCTTCCAAGGAGACAGAGTCTGGTCTTGAAAGTCTCTAAAGGCCTCGTTTTTAGCCTCTGAACACAAAACTGTGAACCAATGTTGTCTCTACATACGACCGGTGTTAGTGTAGTTCCAAAATAAGGAGTTACACTTCAACTCAGTTTTATTTACATAGCACCAAATCACAGCTGCAGGTACAGACTAACAATGCTAGAGAACAAACCCCAACACTGCTCTGCTCCCACCTTCCTCCTTCAAGCGCTGCTCTTTCGCTTTGTTTGCTAAAACTGCTCAGTTTAAAATGCTGATGTGCTGCCTCACTAAGACTCCCGAAAAACAAATTCCAAATATGAAGCTGGCATCAACAGAGTTGCTGGTAATGTTTTCTACCAGCATGCAGCTCGACCATCAAAACTCAAAAAGTGGGCCTATTTTATTTAGTAGAGAGTAAAATGTCTTAGTAATTAGGTTACACAATCAAATTCATATGGAAATGAAAACTGCATAAAAATTGAAGACTTTGGCTCACAAGATAGAAACGTGACTTCAACATAGTGAAAATATTATAATATTTGGCATCCAGTAGAGCAGTGGTACTGTAAATGTAAGGCTGGTGTTGACCAAAACTTCTAGTTAGGATAGGGATTTGTGTGTGTGTGTGTGTGTGTGTGTGTGACTGTAGGTTCATATTGTTACAGAAAGGTGTTTCGGGTCCATGGAGTAACGCAGAAGAAAAGTAACGAGTAGGGAGTAATTAGGTAAAGTGACGTCTTGATGCACGCTCAGTCATCCAGGTAGGTAAATCCCCCAAAAGTTGATTCTGTTCATCTGGACGCAGCGTTTTCAGTGGTGCTGGTTTCAGTCTTTATGCAAATGTCCTGTTTATAAGGTTGAAACCTGCAGTCAGCTGAGACTGAAGACGTCACCTGGATGATGGTGAAATGTTTTTCCCACTGAAACATCCAGATGAACAGCATCAACCTTTGGGGTTGAGTAAAGTAACGCATTACTTTAACAAGTAACAAGTGACGTCTAACACTTTTGCTTTTCTGAGTAACAATCTGCAAATATTCAAACAGAGAGTTTAGAAAGGACGCTTCCTTTAACACTGAGTAAATGCTGGAACCTGCACTGAAACAAGCCTCAGGTATGACCTGTATGTCCCCGCCTCTGCACTGATGGCCACAAAACTCTGCTTATGTAATTCACCTTTTCGACACAAGGTGGCATCAGTGCACACTGATGGACTGCAAGGTGAAACAAAGGGAGCAACAAAGGGCTCATCCACAGCAGATAGCACACACTGTGCCTGTCATCTCACGAGCAGAGAACCAGTTTGCCGAGGTCCACTTCCTCTGACCAATGCACAAATGCGATTTGCTTCAACACTGACAATCACGCATGCTGTCAAACCTGAAGAGCAGCATTGCGTGCCAGACGCTCCTTGATTGACATTTATATCCTTTGTGAGCTTAAACACATGACAGAAACTAAGCAGGCTGACGGTCGTCGATCGTCAGCCTGCACTTAAGAGTTGTCTGTGTCGTAACTGGAGGCACACCTGTATTTGTACCTGAACCCACAGCAAACAGGAATCTGACGCCTCGGTGCTATATCTCAGTGTTACTGCAAACAAAGCCAGTCTCTGGGAAATAAGATCATATTTCATAAGAATAATAAAGCAATCCGAGAACCACACATTGCCCATCACCTGATCATACAAGCTCCACATCGTCTTAATCTCATGTAGCACCACACACTGGCTCTGGCTAACACGCCACCCTATTCCCCTACAAAAAACAGGAAGGTTCAGTATTTTCTCCCCGCTGACTACACTTCTAATCACCTCCAAACAAACTTGGCTCGGTCGCTCCTAAAAATATTTTCCTGTTTGTAAAAAAGGAAAGGCATCCCACTCTCAGTGGTAATGTTCCCCTAGATTTTCCACTCCTCTGCTTAGAAAAAAGAAGAGAAAGCCTTTAAACACGAGTCTACCAGTGAAGCTGTCTGTTCAGGATTAACTTAATGCTCAGCCTGTTCAAAAAGGAGTTCATTCGTTTGTCACTGTGAGTCGTTTCATGGTAACACAGCTGCTTGGTGGGGTAATATTACAAATCTGGAAAGCCTGAGATGAAAAGAGGAAGAGCTGCTCTCATATATATACATGCTGAACTGGAGCAGAGTGCACACAGCCCTCCACTGAACCCGAGGAAATGACCATAATTCTTCAGACATATGTGATCTTACACACAATCAGTGGAGCCGGTTAGAGCTTCTGTTTATAGTGAGGAGAAGAGGAGGAGTCAGAGGAGGATGCACAGCCTGGTCATAGCAGATAGATTAATAGATTCCCAGCATCATCATGTTGAACATAAGAGGTTTGAATAGCTGAATGACAGTTTGCTGCAATGGTGGAAAAATGCTATATAATATTGTCAGAGTTCCTGCTATAGTAAGACCAGCAGAAATACTCAAGTTGTCTTTCAATGTGTTTTTGGGCTTATGGAGGGTATTTCAGGCTTTCTGTGGGCGGCAATGAAAACAGGAGTGTTTTTACACAGCAGTGACCTTCAAAAGGAAACACACACAGCTGCAGTGTGGCAGAAGAAAACAGAGGAAAAAGTCTTTGTCACAACTGACGCAACCAGATAGCTGCTTTAGCAGCACTCTCAGACACATTCTGTTTTATTACTCCTACCTGCTCTGTATTCTTTCTTCACGCTGACCTAGATATCATATGACCCGCCCTAATCCTGCCGCTCTTTTCGTCTGATTTCAACAAAGACAGGTTCGGATGACCTTCATGGGTTTGATGCGGCGGGGCCTCATTAGCGGTGAGATTCAGATCTGCCAGTGCAGACTGATGAACTTTAATTACTGCAGGAGCTGCTTCAGCTGCACACCAACGGTTCGGCCAGCTCGTGTGGAACATCCCGACTGAATGCAGAGGATGTACAGAGCTGATATTTGGTGTCTGGACTCTGACCTTCTTCGAGCAGAGCAGACACTGAACAGTTCTGGTCATAATAGAGAGAGCTGAACACCATCTGCAGTGTGAAACCTACTATAGGATAAGAAGAAGACAACAAGTGGCCTGCTGGGGGGCATGCACCATCTACTGACATCTCATTTTAACAGTGACCTGGAGAGGAAGTGGAGGAAAGAAGGGTCACACTTACTCCTGTACATATAGTACATAACCAAACTCACAGTGTGTATATGTTAAAAAACAGGTGTGTAACTAGCAGAAATAATGAC